AATTTAAAAAACGTGAACATCACACAGATTAATATGTACCCCTAAGTCTCTGGAACGGAATACATGCACCAGTGAACCTACAACTACACGATTTATATTTTAAAAATAATTAAATTCACTTAGCATTCAAAACTTGCGAATTTTGAAAAAAACAAATTTGCTGATTAAATGCAGACAACCCTTTAACTGAAGTAAAACGGGTTTTCCCCTTGCTATGGATGTCTGCCTAGTTCAGGTCAGCCACATTCCGCTACAGTTCGCCTTTATTATCAGTTCGAAATGGGATGGTTCCATAATACCCGCAGTGTTCCATAATACCACCTTCTCCTCTATACATAATTTCACTAATGAATTTAGTTTAGAAAAATATGAATTGAGGAGCTGATTAATTTATTCTGTATCTGTTTGCTTGTGACATTATTTCTAACAATATCTGCTCTCTCTTTAAATATCCCATTTCTCGGTCTTGTTCATATGTTATCTCCTCTGCCACACTTTCTTCCACTTCTGTTATTTGCACTCCATTTTCTACTCTCTCTTCATCATTACTCCATACTGATTCAACATTCTGTAGAACACAAATATTATGTAAAATACAACGCGCAGCTATAAGTTCTACCATTAAGTCCATGCGAGACATATCTAAAAACTTCAGCCTCTGAAACATAGTTAGTTATTTTGCATACCGATTTCTTTTTTTTCTTACTTTTATATTGTGTTAAATAATTAACCAAAATTAATTCTTCTTCCTCGGATTCTGAATCTAATTCCGATAATATTTCTAAAATGATTCCTAAACTTGCCGCCATCTTCGATCCTACTCTTATACTTTCCGCCATGACAGAAGCTATCTGTATCGCGTGACAAGGACTGATCCGATTTTACAGATCGATCTATACAAAACGAAAAGTATATGCACCCCTAGTTGTAAGTTAGATTATGAACTCTTAGTTTGGTTTCTAGTTAGGTTATGATAGGTTAGGTTAAATTAGATTAGGATTTGTTAGCTTTAGTCCGCTAGTCAGATTATTCGTTCTAGGTTACGGTAGGTTAGTTTAGTAAGTGAGTAAGTTAACGTTTAAAAAAATTATAATAAATACATAAAAAAAATATTAATAAAATTTTGGGATCTTGCTTGTTTGTTTTTGTCCGTCCGTTCGTCTCGTATAGTTTTTCGATGTGTTCGTTTGCTTTTCGTGCTGTCTGTATAGCTGTTAAGTAGTATTAATTAAGATTTGCGATCGCGTTAAGTGTTATTAGTATTAAGAAGATATAAGTCTTCATACTAACAGCCACATGGCATTAACCTCCACACTTAGCTATTCGTGGCAGCACTCAATAATTGGTGTTCGCTACACTCAGGTTTTCCTTTAGACCCTTCGGGTAACTACGGCCTTGCAGCCTAAAAACTCCACGCCATCGTCAAAAATAGAGGATACTGTAGCGTTAAGTACGCCGTTCAGAGGGATCCTACCTTTCTCTACTGTCTATCACCTCTCCCTCCTTTTTTCTCTTTCCCTCTTTTTCCGGCTAAACACTTCGTGTACGGCCGAAGTCTTTCTTGTATGTATGTATTGGTAGAAAAACATTCTCATTGAAACAGGGCGTTTCCCATCTTGGGTATATAAAAAATCTGTAATGGCTGCCAAATGCTATTTAGATAAGCTCATTTTTCCAGAAGTCTGTGTGATAAAGTGTCAACTTAATCCAGATTCGAATCCACTAAAGTCTTACAACTTATTATGGATAGTAATGATCAAAATGTTTCCCTTTCCAATCTCATGTTGATGAACCGTATTGTGGGTCGGTTCTACTACTAATGGGCGAAAATGTGGCTAGTCTATGTTAATAGAATATTCATCTTTGTGCTTAACAATATTAATATTATCTTTATTTTATGGTCAAGGAGCTAGATATTTTTCTTCTGCCCGTGTCTCACGTTAACCTATTAATAATTCGAGCAGAAAGTTGTTTCAGCAGTAAGCGTTATTAAAGTACACATACGTCAGCATCTACTAATATGTTTATGTGTTTACTTACATATTAAACAAAAAAGAAAGCCATAAAGACAGAAATATGTTTATTATCAACATGTTTCGACTTGCAACCTTTACCAATTTGTCTTTATGTATTGATTTAAATATCAAGTAAATAATCATATATTTAAAAATTGTTCAGGGCTAATAATATATTTTTAAAATTATTCAAACTTCGATTCCATTTGAAGTTATTTTGAATTAAGTTCGAAGATAGTCTTAGCATTTGAATTTATAAATATTTGGTTTCTTTTTTTAATTCTTTCCGCCCTTCCGGATCCCATCCTGGATGTCCTAGTGCGGTAGTCTGTCACTTTAACTGCTTGACATCTACCCGTTCCTCTGTTAAGAAATAAGAAAATCATTTTAATGTATTCATTTAACAGTGATATCTTTATATAAATTTAAACAGTTAAATCAAAAACTTATTGTAGCATTGTGAATCTAGAAATTGAAAACAAAAAAGATTCAAATATAATTCTTTATTTTCACAAATGTATTTTGTAGTTAACTTTTACACAAAGGAAGTTATTGCAATGAAAATGGGAGTGGTGCAAAAAAAGAGTAAATTTTAAAAATAAAATTAATTTAAAATTTGAAAATAATCATTTATTTCAAAATAACAANCCATAATAATACTAATTAAACTTAATTGTGCAATTTATGTAATGCAATTCGTTAATTCATTAGTAAGTGTAATTACGTGCTTTACCACCTCTATATTTACAATCACAGGTTTTACGATTTGATTGATGGAATAAGGCATGCCATACTTGGTCGATCTATCAAGCCAACCGGAAGGACTTTCTTCGGAATATTAACCTTTATTTATGTGTTGGACACGTGAAAAAAGCCCGAAAACTTCACGTGGCCAGGACGTTGACCATTCGTCAACTCGAGACCAACTTCTATTGTCAGTGGTTTCACTAATTTGGCATGCAGTAGGCCCCATTTTATAATTAATATTATAATTATTAAAATGCCTCTGTGATAACCTCTGTGTGGTATTATATGACTATTTTTTTTCTGGAACGTAATTTTAACATTACATAACTGAAGGAAAACAGGACAGCTCGTTTAATTAACGATGGTTTTCGATTAGATGGTAAAGGTGGAATGTACTGTATTAATTAACACGGAGCTTTTTATGTAGCAGAACACAGCTTAACCTCCTGTTCGAGTGCCAGGAAAGAAGAGCAAGAACTTGTGCCAGCTTTAATTTTTTAAAAACACTCGCTGCAAAAATAAATCTCTCTGCAACAATACTCTTCTGCTAAAGCGATTTGACTGTATATTATTTTCTTACCCATTTACGCTTTGCTTCTTCCCAGCATATCTTCATCTATAAAAAGTAAAGTAAATATTAAATTTAATTTTGTTTTGAAAAATAAAATAATTTATTGCGATAAACATTTACCTTTTCAGCTACGTTTATTCCTTCGTTACTGCAATCCGTAGCTATTATTTCCTTTAAAAAATTGTAAGAATTGTAAATTATTTAAAAAATGTGTAAATAATTAATTATTTTATTGTTTCCAAACGAATAAAATAAAAATATACCTGTGTTTTATTCTTTAATATTTCTTTACATTTTTCCTGAAAAAAAAATAATTATTTATATTGGCATACATATAAAATTTTATATTTATGAACTTTTGCAATTAACAACAATACAGTAGCTGCGTATGCCGACGTTACTTCGGCTTTTAAGAGGAAGCGGCTTAGTGAGGTTGAGTTGGGAGAGAGTTATAAAGAAAACGGTGATCTTGTCTTGGCTATGAGCTACTCAATGTACTTCGCCTCCTTGAAAAGTGTGACACATTTGTCGTCTATCAATAGTCGTTTGTGTTGTTATGATAATTCCTTCCGGGAGATCTTTTAAGGATAACTGGCCCCTATTCAGGCTTTACGGACGTGGAGAAAACCCCGGAAAACTCCACGTGGCCAGCCTGTCCGAGCGGAGCGCGAACCCACGACTGAACTTCCAGTGTTCAGAGAACGGAACCGTTCTCTGCCACTGATGGGCCACAATGATCTAATATGTACATTTATCGACCTCGGTGTTTACAATAATGAAACTACATAAGAAAAAAATTTGCTCGGGTTAATGTTAACAGGGAGTGTCCTTCGATATGTTTGTCCCGTAGACTTAAATTGTGCATTTGCCACTTCGCCACGCCTGAATTATTGTACCTTTCTCAAATTTCTCTTCGGCGGCATCACCTATAGGATAAGAGCTTTAATTTGATACCTGAAACATATTTTTACCCCTAGTCGTTTACTCAAACTAAGTTGAACAAACAGAAACTCATTTTCAATTAATATATTAAAATATATAGAAGATATAAAACAATGTCCGAAATCAGTCGTTCCTTATGTTTTAATCTCAAAAAAAAAAAAAAAAAGGAAAACTAAGACTCACATCAGCATCAGAAACATTTAAAAATTTTTCTAAGTAGCTGCATCAGACCCTTATTTAGAGGAGGTCAGGGATTCCTGCCCATTGTTTCATATAACGCAGTTATCTTTTATTACTTATATATTTTGAAAAATATGTAATTTTTAACGTTTAATTTTGGAGTATTTTCGTATCTTTTTGTACATATATTATGTTATATTTCAAAAGATTTTTGAGAGAGGACCCGAAGATATCTGATTTGATAGCTACACACATACTATAGCTACGCCCTCCAGCTACGTAACGAATGATATACACATTAATCAAAGAATGGCATTGGTTTGTTTACTTAGCTTTTTGCCACTAGAAGTACCCTAACTGTGAACTTTGTTGTTTTTCAGATGAGGGCTTATGTGCCGAAACATATGACAAAGTTTGAATAAATGTTTTTGCTGCCAATTGTGTCTTTTCTTGTGATGAAAACATAAGAAACCACTGTGAAGTCATGGAAGATGATAAGAAATCAATTATTTTTAGGTATATCTCCATATATTATTGTTTATATGTAGAAAAATTGTATAACTTACTGTATGTTCTTCAATTTTCTTATAGTTTGTGTCATTGACCTATATTTTAAATTGAATGTAACATTATTTGAAATTGAATTCACATGCATATTTTTCTTAATACTTCGTTTAAGAAGATAAGTAATTAAAAATTCATGCAATACCTACCATTCGAGACTTATCCACCATACATGTAAAAAAGCTCTAAAAAATATAATAAATAAATAAATAAATATATATATATATATATATATATATATATATATATACATGTAACATTTTTAACAGGTTAGTAAAGTCGGCGTTTATTCAAATTTTAGTTAAATGGCTACATTGTTCTGGGTTCGAACGTGAGAGAGTTCGTTGATAGAATAAGTGAAGGAAACACGATTGCAATCTGCTAAAGATGTCCTGGAAAAGGAGAATGCCTTTTGTTTAAGTGTTGAATGAAAAAAAATCAGGGGAAATCAACGAGGCCAACCGTTGGTCAGGTGCGAACCCATAGACCATTGTTCATTGGTTTTATCTACTGGGTCACTGTATATTACATCACTGATATCTAACAATGGTGTAATAGTAACGCTCTGAATTCGATGAAAAATATTTTAAAGATATTGAACAAAATGGCATCTTTTAAAACTTTAGCAATTAAATTTTAATGTTTATACACGTTTTACCTGTGATTACGCAAGCATTACCGTTTGAAAATTTTCTTCTCCTCCTTTTCCTACAATGTCAGCACAACATTCTTTTGTCTGAAATTTGATATTTATTATTGATACGACATATTAAATAAGTATTATTAAATTAAATATTAACATACAATTTTTTTCATTTTTTCCATTTTTTCCTTGTCTGAAAAATATAATGAAACATGATATATTTTCAGAATGTATAATACATAATTAACCTATAAAGAAACTTACGGCGACCGGGGTGACTGTTGACAGTACACAAGAACAAAACAGGAAAAAGCAGAAGGAACTTCATTCTGAACGAATATCGGGTGGATGGAAAGCAAACTGCAGAAAGTATTTATATCTTCTGAAGGAAACATAATGACGTCAATGGCGTTTGCGGCGATTGGATAATTTTTAATAATTCTATTATTTCATACTGTAAACAGGACATAGTATTTGTTCAGTTGATCATCCTGTTGTTACGACGATTGAAGTAATATTAGAAAAATCTACTAAACAAAAACTCATTTTTCGTTCTGAATATTTTAAAAGACAAAAAATGAGCAATCATAGGAAATAAGAAGAAAAAGTAATTTTTATTTTAAGGAAAATAGATTTTTCTTAAGTGATTTTCTCCACCAGAAGCCGAGTGGATAAGGACACTGAACACTCATAGTTGATCGTGGGTTCAGGGTCTGAGTTTTCCAGGTTTTCTTGACGTTTCTAACACCCAAACAAGGGAGAGTTTCTCATAGAAAACCCTCACGATTGGCATCACTTTGGCAGATCATCCCTTATAACAGTAACAAAAGTGTGATTGTTTTAAACATTTCAAGAAAACTAATTAATAATTAGAAATTTAATAGTATGCCGCGCTATATTGTGTATATCCTGTGCATTTAAACTATCGTATGTCCTTTGGTTACACGATATTTTGTTTAAACCAGGGGTCGCCAAAGTGGTCGATATCGACCACTTTGGTACACTGTAACACACTACGACCCAATGTAACCCCTGTAACAACTTTGGCGACCCAATGATGTTACAGTGGAGACCACTGTAACATCATTGGGGGTCGATGCGGCTAAGGGGTCACAACATTTTTTTCTTTTTGCTCATACACTTGCACTTGTAATAAAACTTTCCGGTGGGGGTCAATATGAGGTTTTGGAAAGTTGTTGGGGATCGACGGTTAAAAAAGTTTGGCGACCCCTGGTTTAAACAGACAGTATTAGATAATAAATATAGTAATATTTTTTCCCGGCTGTTTTATATATCAGAGGTAAAGTATGGCGATCGGTCAAGAATGGCCCCCAAGATTTTTATATTTTTGGACTCAGGGACCTTGAAACGAACGTCGAGAAGTGCAAAAAAAAATTCGGGGTTTATTTTGTATGTATGGATGTGTGTATATTGATGAGGCAAAATTGTTCCTGTGTTTTTGTCGAAAATTCTAAAATTTTTCAGGGAGGTTTGTGTATTGGGTGATTGATGTTATTAAATTCAAAGAAAACCTGTACATTTGATACAGGTTTACTTTGAATTTAAAACATGTTACAGAGTTTTGTTTTGAGCACATTACTACATATACGTAACAATAACTGTGGAAGAATCATTTATTTCAGCGGTTCCCAAGGTGTGCGCTGCAAAATATAAAATTTTTATACATTATATATTATT